CTCTTGTGGGAGAAGCTTTATGAAATGCCAAAGATGACAGAGATCCATTTGATGTTAATTCTGATATTCCAGATCCATCTTATGTTAATTCTGATATTCCAGAGAAGACTGACAGTGATTTGCTAGCTGTGACAGGGGAAAGAATCCCAAACTTAGATTTGTAAACTGGCAGATGACTGGTTACAAAGATCAGATAAAGTAAAGCATCGGCTTGGATGGTTTTCTTTGTGTTCCTGAAACAGTTCAGCTAGGGACGGACTTTTACATTGGGAAAACTGCAAACTGTCATTTTTTAAAATGCAATTCTTGGCACTCTGTTCAACTAAAGAAACATTTCCAATTTCAGTCATTTTACTAGGATTTAGATTATCACCAGTTATATTTTCCAATGAGCTGGTTAAGTGCAAAGGATTATTTAAACTTCCCAAGATGTTTTGTACTGGAATGTTTTGGAAATCAGATAGATAGCGAACTGTTTTGAATAAATAAAGAATTATTAGCTGTTGTGCTCTCTATCATTAAGGTCTTTAAATCTGGTATTCCTTTGAAAGCAAAATCATCTTTGTAAATACATTCAGATGCATGAGTTCTTAACAAATCAGCATCTAGATTCTCTGAAAGCAGACTTTTCAAATCATTTGTGGATAATGATCTGCCTTTTGGCTGACATTTATAAGAATCTCTTGGCATATCATGAATTAGGTCAGCTAATGAAACCTCTTTTGTTAACTTACACGATTCTAGTTTCTTTTCACTTTTAGGTCTGTCAAGTTTCTTTTTCCTATGAAGTAAACAGTGACTTGGTACAACCGAAGAATTATATGATCCATATTTTGCTTCTGGGCTTTTACTTACTTTCCTGTAGATATTGCTCTCTCGCTCTTTCCCTTCAAATTCTGCAAGTTATCTTGTTCCAGAACCATTGACAAAGCGTTCTGCACATCAAACTTGTTCTTCAGAATTGCTTCAATCAGTACTTCATCCAGCACAGCATCTCCAAGTACCTCTCTCATGTGATCAAGGCACGAATAAAGACAAGCTTGATAATTTCACTTAGCTGATGGTTCAAAAGAGAACTGGAAGAATCTTTCAGGTCTTCATAATCATCCTCTTCTACAGACTCAACAACTGAAGGCTTGTCACATCGTGAGTAAATAAATTGAGCAGCTGTTGATGGTGAAATACAATAATCATTCTCTACAGACTAACCATAGCAATCATCATCTTCAAAATCTTCATCGTAGTTGTAGCCTTGGACATTCTGATGCTGGGCCATGGCAGCAAGGCAGGGCGTTTGCCACAGCACCTTCAGAAACACCTGGCTCAGATACTCTTTAGGCGCCAGCTGCAGCCTGGAGTCCACTTATGTGCCATCTTGACTTCCAGCAAGCGCCCGCTTGCGCAACTGCAACCTCTCCCAAGGACCGTTTTGATATTCTAAAGAAAGTTACCAGCTCTCTTGCCCAAAGGCTATGGCTAAGTACTTAGAGGCCCTGGGGCTACAGAGCTCAATGGCAGAACATTCACTTGCCCAGCAGGCATGAGGTGCTGGTTCCATCCCTGGCACCAGAAAAAGGGGCCCCTCCCCACCAAAAGAAAAACACCACCAACAAAAACACTACCTAAAGTTCTGGAAAGTTCTAGCTGCAAATCTTGAGTTTAGTAAAAGGCAAGGTATATTCGTGTGTGTGTGTGTGTGTGTGTGTGTGTGGTGAAAAACAGCATGATGTCTACCCTCATACACTTGTTAAGTATACAATATGGAATATAAACTATATGCACATTGGCATGCAGAGCAGGGCTCTAGAACTTTCCATCTTGCCTGATGGAAACTCTCCACTCATTGCACAGCACCTCTCTGTGTCCACCTCCCTCAGCTACTGGAAACAGCACTGTAGATTCTGCTTCTGTGATTTGAATTATTTTAGATACCTTGTGAAAGTGAGATCATGTGCTCTTTCTGCACCTGGCTTATTTCACTTAACATTGTCCAGGTTCATCCATGTTGTTGCAGATGACAAGAGTTTCTTTTCTAAAGCTCTGTGCATGTGCGACCTTTTCTTTATCTAATTGTCTTATGATAGGCACTTAGGGTTTTCCAGCTTTACTGGTGTGTAATCAACAAATAAAAAATAGACATTTATGATATACATTATGATGATACATATATGTGCACATCATGAAATGATTACCGCAATCAAGCTAATTAAAATCCATCACCTCACATGGTTATGTGTGTGTGTGTGTGTGTGTGTGTGTGGTGAGAACACATAAGATCTATTTTCTTAGCCAATTTCAAGTACATAATATGGCTTATTGACCATTGTCACCATGCTGTACATTGTATCTTCAGAACTTACTTATCTTGTAACTGATAGTTTGTACACTTTAAGGCTCCGTGGTAAGATCCTGTCTTTATTTTTTTAAGGGGAAATATAGAACTTTATTTTTTAACATAGTAGTTCAATTCCACCACAAAAAGGGACACCATTTTGTTTTTCATTTTTCATTTTTTTCATTCAATACATACAAATTAATAAAAATACTATGTTTTGTAAAGAGACTGCCACTCCTCACTACCTCTAATGGACACCTACGGGTGACTGTGTCCCCGTGGTCTTGAAGCAGGCCAGCAGCCTCCACAAGGCCACTGCTTCCTACTCCAGGAGGCTGCATCTCGCTCATGCCTGCAAACACTATGCAGCACCCCCCTCCCACCCTTCCAACTCAAGTCCTCCTACAGAATTTCAGACATTTAATGTTTAATCATTAATTAATCATTAAACGTTTCAGAGAAGGAACAAAACTGGCCTCCACAGAAGCTCAACAAGGAGGCCCTGCACTAGGAATTGTTAACACCATGAAAAGTGAGGTTTTGGTTAAGAGACGAATGTCCACCGGGCACACTCGCAAAGGGAAGTGAAGAGGCTAGTGTGAAAGGAGATCTGTTGCATATCACACTGGCCATCTCCTACTTTAAAAAACAGACTCCTGGGGAAATGCAAACTGTATGGAACAGGCCAGACACAGGGGTCCCCACACAACAGATCTGTGTGTTATTGCTTGTGGTGTCCCCTCCAGGTACTGTGCTGCTCAGCTATCTGCTGTCAGAGACATCTAGCAGCATCAAGGTCACAGACTGCCAAGGATTGCTCCCTCCATCTGGGGCTGGACCTGCAGCCCAGGTCCATTTTGGGGGGAAAGGCACACCTCTGCACTCTGTGCCAATTAATAGTAGAGTCCCATCTGACCTCAAGGGCAAAGAATAGTCCTGGCAGAACCACACCATACGGTGCAGAGCCCTGGAGTGACCCAGCTTTTAGTCTAGAAAAGAAAAACTCCTGCAGGACTCAGGAGAAAATGTCAGTAAAACTTCAAAGACCTCCCCTTGACTGCTCTGGCAGTGCACAAGCAATGGCAACAGAATGCTAGTCTCCTAAAACTGCAAACAGGAAAGCCACTGGTCTTCATGGCCAGCAATAATTTTCTGTTCTGGGTCCCCATTTCTCATTGACTGTTTGCAAAGCATCCCCAGAAATATTTCTAAGTGTGATTGTAATGCACAACAAATGAAGAGGTGTCGGGGTTTTTAGCCCCCCATTTCCTCCTGATCTGTGGGAGAGATGGGGAAAGCAGGCCCCGACCAGGATGAGCCAAGAAAGGTAAAGGTCAACTGGCGGCCTGCACCCAGCCCTCCCTCAGGAAGGAAAATCAGACCTGCCAGGGAGAACCGTCAAAGCAGGATCTCCTTTATTGAGGAAGTACACACAGGTTATATACTGCACTGGAGCCAATCAGGATAAAGGTCAGAGGGGTGGAGCGAATTCACGTGTATACCCATCCCATAGTCTGTAAGGGAAGGCAGGAGCTGTCCACAAGGGCAGAAGAGTCCTGGACCTATCCTGGAGGTAGTCTGTTTTTTTTTGTTTTTTTTTTTTTTTTGTGGTCACCACCCACAGCACCGCCTCCTGGCTGATTGCCTGGTGCCATCTCATTTACTTGTGCGGCCCCAAGACCGGGATGCAGGCAGCAAGTCATGCCCTACAAAGAGGCTCTACCTAGGCTGTAATAACCTCTGCTTGTAAAACACAAGAGGAGTTGTCATGGACGCCTCACAGGTCATGTGGAATTGGGGGTGGAGTACAAAGTATGCCAGCCCCTTCCCCACAGTTGCCACAGGCCCCATGCCTTTGCACGAGGCAGCTGGTCTGCCCGGGCCCTCAGTGCCGGGGCAGGTGCGGGAGAGAATGTGGACTGAGGGTGGCTGGGAGGTAAGACCGCCTGGTGCCCTTTCTGAACACCCCATGGGGAGGAGCACTTGGAAACCGCAAAGCTGTCCTTACACTATGCAGGTCATGACTCTAGAAGAGAAGCCTGTTTGGGGTGGAAAGGTTAAGAAACAAGAAGTGCCGTGGTTCTGCAAGCTTGCCTGTTTTGGTGGCAGCATGGGCAGCTGCTGAGAGCCATTGCCAAGTAGGAATGACGCATGGCAATTTCTTTGTCAGCCTACCCAATGTTGCTTAGAGGGAGGACTCTCCATTGTGGAAATGGGCTTGCCTTGGACCCAGGTCATTTGCAGTGACATTGCATGAATGTTTGAGAAAGGTGACCCTGGTCAAGGACCAGGGTGGATCCGGGTTTAGGGAGGATCCTGCTGGATTAGGGTGGGTCCAGGTTTAGGGTGTATCCTGCTGGGAATCGGGAGTATCCTGCTGCCTCAGGCGCCCGCCGGCTCCTGGAGTTCCCATTGAGTTCTCGCGGGATTCAGAGAGTATTTTGGGATGCAGAGCCGAGTGGATGTGTGGATTTTCCCAGAACGTGCATGTAGAGTGCCGGTGAGAGTTTCGGGAATAAAGAGTTGCTGTTTGAATCTACAAGGTGTGTGGTGGCTTGGTTATTTTGTGCCCAGCCAGACTGCGGCAGGCAGCACCATCACTGAGTGTCCTGAGGGCAGCACTGGAACTACGCCATACTGTCCTGCCATTCACACATGCACAGCCTCAGATCCCCAGAGACTTCTGCACGATCTGCCTGGCAATCCTGTAAAACTGCTCCCAGTGGTCCCGCCACATCTTGGAAGCATCCACATTAGCTCCAATTTCATCGTTGGGCTCTGCCAGCATGTTCACCACGACAGCAGGATCTTCTCCACACTCTGCACGGGGCTCCACCTCTCAGCACTGCTCTCATAGCCCATGGGGTCATTGCCTGGCGCATGGAGGATGGAGATGCAGACTCTGCCATCTGGGTAAATGTTGGGATGGAACATCTCACAGGTGAACCTCATCCTGGGATGACTCAGTGGGTAGTCAAGTGGGAAACTCAAGATGGCAGGAAAAACACCAAACTCAAAACAGGTATCTTCGTGGCCCATGATCAACGCCTCCCATTCAAAAAAATTCTCTTCATTCATGGGGCCTGTCACAATTCCTTCTGGAAGATTCAGGGTTAGTTGCTTGTACTCGGCCATCAGCCTTTGAGCGCCATCCCCACCATGTCCCAGCAGCTGCCTCACCTCGCCCACACCCCGACACCGGGGTCGCTTCCAAGACCCTGTCTTTTACCCAGGGATGCTGAACCACTGAGCCATATCCTTAGCTTTTTTTAATAGTTAAAGACAGGATCTTGCTGAGTTGCTTAGAGTGTCACTAAGTTGCTGAGGCTGGCTTTGAACTCACAATTCTCCTGCCTCATCCTTTGAGCTGCTGAGATTACAGGCATGCATCACTGCACCCACCATAAGACCCTGTCTTGAAGAGAATGAGGGAAAAGAAAAATAGGAAGGAAGGAAAAGAAGAAGGGAAGGAAGGATGGAGAGAAAAGAAAAGAATAACAGTATTTAATCAGTGAGTTCAATTTGCTCTACTTGTCTATAGCTCAGTGCTATAGCACTTGCCTAGCATACACAAGGCCCTGGGTCAATCCCCACCACTAAAAAAAAATTGCCCTAGATTCTGAGAACACTTGCTTAGAGCTATGCTCAGTGCAAGACATTTTTCATAAATTACTGGCAATGTGAGTTTTATTAAGTTTGTTTCCAAGTGAAGGGACCTAGGAAGCAGTAGAACCAGGGTTACAAAGCTGGGAGGCTAAGTAACATTCTGTGGTAACTTGATTATTCATGTCTCTGTCATATTCTCCTCTTTTGCAGGGGAAGAAGGGAGCTGAGGTCCTCCACTTTGCCTGCCTCACATTTCCATCTTTGAGGACTTTTGCTAGAATAACTCCTGGTCTCTCTCCCATCCTCTCCCTTCACGTGGCAAATGAGTTGGCAAATTGGTGTAGCTAAGTGGAAGACTACTAGGAGTATATTATGGCTATCTTTCTTTCTTCTTTTTTTTTTCATGGTTGTTGTTGGTACTGGGGATTAAACCCAGGAACACTTAACCACTGAGCTACATCCCTAGCCACCCCCTCCTTTTAAAAATTTTATTTAGAGACAGGGCCTTGCTAAGTTGTTTAGGGCCTCACTAAGTTGCTGAGGCTGGCTTTGAACTTGTGATCCTCCTGCCTCAACCTCCTGAGCCACTGGGATTATAGACATGCACCACCACACCTAGCTATGCCTACCTTTTTATTTCCTATCTTCCAATACAGTAATACTCTGATTATATATATATATATATAAAAATATATATATATATATATGTATATGAGTGAAAGTGTATTGGGATTGAATCCAGGGCCATGCATGCCAGGCAAGTG